TAATGTTGCAGATTGCGTTGTTCTTTAATCTTCTAATTGGATCCGGCGTATTATTTTTTGCAGACTGTTAGAGCAATTTTATAAAAGTAATCTTGAACTTTCAATTATGTCAAAAAGGGGGGGGGCACAATGAACTGGAAGTTAATCTGTCAGCACTATCCTTATCTTCTGGGCAGATGTTTTTATTTTATTTGGCTTATAATTCCTTATAAAATGTAGTATTTCATCTCGATGTACTCCCTCTTTGATATGATTTAAATCAAATACCTCGTCATTATAAATATCCCGAATACACATCAAATAGTTTTCTGGTTGCAATTTTCTAATTTCGACTATGCGTAATGTATGCTTTACGCATGCAAGCATTGAAAGAAATGTTTAATAAAGTAAACAATTAAATATAAAGCTTTTTTTGTTGTTGTTGTAAATTTTGATACTCTTTAGATCATAATTGCTCTTTATTTCATAAATTACGGTTTCATATTTTTATTTTTATAATTTCTGCATGCCAGTTTATCAGATTTAAACTGATGATCTATAATCCAGAAAAACCGATAATCTGGAATCGCCGAAGTCACGACGAGTCAGGATTAAAGACTTTTGACTGTAGTTAGAAATTGACTATGAAAGACAATTCAGTCCAGAGAAAGAAAGATGAAAGATCAAGAACAGCCATAGGTATTTTATACATATCTAAAATCTAGGTATTTTATACATATCTAAAAATGATGAAATTTTTCACTTGCCAAAACTGATTTAAATGGAAAACAGTCAGAAAACTTTTAGTGTGACAAAAACTGTGAAAAATGATTATCAAGGAAATGTATCGTTTTGGAACACATGCATACTTGCCAACTTATGACACTCAAAAATCAGGAGATTTTATTAAGAAATCAGGAGATTTTTCACAATGTTAAAGACTTTTTAAATGATAAAAATATAGTTTTTAATAATGAATTAACTTTAAATAGTTACTAATTCTTAAATGCAAGCAGCACAAAAATACCTTACGCATAAAAAACATTTTTATTACTTGCATCGCTTAAAACAACAACAAAAAAAAAAAAAAAAAAAAAAAAAAAAAAGACACTTTAACAGATCAGTTTTTGTATAAATGTTATGAACAGTGGCAGATTTTGCTTTCGTTAAGAAAGAAAGTTCATAATTTTGTGCAAAGCAATTGCCACATAGGCCTGCTTTCACTAAAAAAAGTTTTCATCGCTAATATTAGATTTAAATTTATTCCTCATTTTCGCAACAACACTGAAAATCCTCTCACACTCTGCATTACTATGGGGAACTGTCAAGATGGCCAACATAATTCTAAACAGTTCGCTATATTTTAAAATTCCGTCAGCACCTTTCAGTTTTCCAATTAACCACTTGCGCTAAAAAGACGTGCCACGCACGTCGAGATGCTTTTGTCTCAAACTGCGTGCAAAAATGAAAATAACATGGTGCACACGTCTAACGAGATTGTTTATTTCTCAAGTTACAGCTCTGGATTGCACTCGCAGACACGGAGCGGCGTAAATGAGACACTTTACCGCTTGTTATATTGTAGCACACGGCTCCGCAACCGTGAAATTTAGTTATAGCGCAAGTGGTTCAACTCCTCTGGGTGTCAATCCTAGCTGATTTTATAACTTCATCCAAGTTTTCTAATTGTAAACTGCAATATTATCAGTGGCAACATCAATATCATCATCTTTCATGACTAAATGAAGTAACACAGGAAATCTGTTCAAAACGTACCTTATATTAGAAAAAGATGCATTTGCTAGAGCAAAAACATCAGCAAATTTAGCATGCAAAATCACTTCATCGTTGACTGGAAATTTATTATGTAATCACATACTCGACAGAAGTTACTTCTAACATGAAGATAAAACTTACTTTTGTCTTCTTCTGAAAGTTCTTCCACTATTTTTGTAGTTGCAGCTCCTATTACCAAATCTTCATCTTTCTTCTGATTTTCTATTTCACCATAAATGACATCGTATATAGAATTACAAGACAAAACACAGACTGGTTTTGCAAACTTTGATGAAATGTCTTTAAACAGATCATAAATCATTGATTGCAAAACATGAATTAATGGAATTCTGCTTTGTAGAACTGTGTTAAGAGCATCGAATGATGGCAAAATGAATTTTAAAAAAAAAAAAAAAAAAGCAAAAAGCTTTGTTAAAGTCCAAAGAAAAAAACAAATATTTGTTCTTCACAAGATAAACTTACAGTAAACAGAAAATGTTTCACGTGTTGAGCAATTTTTTAACTTTGAGAGAAATTTGTATCAGCTTTACGCTTATATTTTGTAGTATTATTTTGAGAACTGCCAGTTGAATTGCTGAATGGCACAGAAATAACTTTATTTTTCCCAAACCTATTTTTAACAATGGAAGTAGTAACTACATCTGCATTTACTTTAGGTATTTTATAACTTTCAATAGATCCTTTTATCTAAACTCTTGAAGCATTTACTTCTTCTTTAAAAAAAGCAAGAAGTGGGTTCCATTGATCAAGGATTCTCGATAAGCATTTCTTTAAAGACAGCCAGCGTGTACACACGTTTCAAAATTTTTCTCATTTCAGTATTATATTATGCAGCTGTTGGAACTGTTTCAATTTTTCCTTCCTTTTAGAACTCCTTTCAAGATAATAATAAATATCAACAATATGTTCATCCACATTTATTGGTAAAGAAGCTGCCCCTGTTTCAGCTGCTAAATTTAAGAGGTGAAGGTGCAACCTCATAATCTACAATCTAAATTTTCTTTCTTAAGATGCCTGCAAACACCAGTCTTCAAGCCTACCATTACAGATGCATTATCGGCACCAAGTGCAAGCATTATCCAGGGGGCTGCATTTTCTTTTAAAGTTTTAATAATTAGCTGTGCTATATTAAAGCCTGTCGAACGTCCTTCTAAAGTGGTGACAGAAAGTAAACTGCACTCAATTTCTGAAGACTCTGGATTAAAAAATGAAATGACAATTGGATACAGTTTTGAATCAGTATTATTGCTTCCACTCGTAGATAGGCAAAACGAAGCTGTTTTAATGCAATCAGTAACTGAAGATTTTTTTTCAAACCCATTTTTTTAATAATTGCACCTGTTTTGGTCCTTGCACTTGAGTATTTCTTAGCGTTTTCACTATCGGCAAACATTTTTCTAAATAAAGCTGCAGCGTGATCCGATGCTTTCAGTGATAGGTTATGTATGCTCCAGTAAAAAAGCAGAGAACAGACATTCTGCATTAATAACTTTTTGGTCTTTTGTTTCCGAAAAAAATTTAATTTTTCATTTTTTTTTAAACAATTCATGTTGTCCTTGTGTTTTTGTATACACAATGTTTGAGAACATCCGCCCTTCTACCAAACGAAATCAAAAAATCAAAAAATGACAGACGGTACACATCGCAAATTTATTACATTTCCTTGAGGAAATAATGGAAGGAAAGTCAACTGTGTATGATTTTTGAAACGTACACAAGTATTTCACCTTTCTCGCAGACATAACAAAAGATGATATTTTCTACAACAATTTCCTGAAGGCACGGATATTTTCTACAACAATTTCCTGAAGGCATGTGTACTTACACAACTCAGGACAAGATGAACGAAATAACTAAAGAATATCCAAATGAGCACAAAGCCTTGAGCTTGCTTTGTGCCCATTGGCTTATATATGCCAGATGACAAGCAGTGGAGCTCGATGCCCATTGGAGAACTTGTTTTAGATATAATCTAGAGAAAATTCAATTGCTTTCAGACGTCCAAAATCACTTTTTTTTTTTTTTTTTTTTTTTTTTGTTTATATAATGAAGTATTAAGCCAAGTTCTATACAAATCGTGAGAAATTTTAAGAATAATTAAAAGTCGGGAGAAATATATTGTAAATCAGGTTGGCGGGAGAGCAGTCAAAAACCGGGAGAGTTGGCAACTCTGCACCTGCATAATGTGGAAAATGAAAGTACTATCTTACACATAATGAAATTACTGTCTTAGGGTGGGAATGTCAAATCCTACACTATGAAAAATCAAATTTTTTTTCATGCAGTGTGTGTGTATGTATGTGTATTGTGAATATGGCAAAGCACACTAGGGCTATCTGCCTAAGGAGATGGATGCCTTCGTGGAGGACTTTCTAACGGAAACTGGCTCATATACACGTTACACATGGGAAAAACCACGAAAACGCCCATGCAGCCAGCCCGTTCACGGGATTCGAACCTCGGACCGAACTACCAGTGTTCAGCGATTTTACCGCTCGGCCGCTGGTGGGCTTTTTCATGCATTGATTAACTGATTAATTTTATATAAGGGAGTGTTGTTGTGTGTGTTGTGTGTGATTATGGCAAAGCCTCGAGGGCTATCTGCTTAAGGGGAGGGATGCCTTCGTGGAGGACTTTCTAAAAGAAACTGGCTCATATATACGTTACACATGGGGAAAACCACGAAAACGCCCATGCAGCCAGCCCGTTCGCGGGATTCGAACCTCGGACCGAACTACCAGTGTTCAGCGACTTTACCGCTCGGCCGCTGGTGGGCTTTATATAAGGGAGAATTTCAAGCAGTTTTATATTTATTAGAATTAAAATATACAAAAATTTTACTTTCAGCAGCATACGATTATTTATATAATAAAAGGTATATAATTAATACAATTTGGGGTGCTCTTGTTTTTAAAATATATAATAATTTATTGATTTATTTAAATGTTATTTATTTAAAAACTTTTAACATCGTATTAAGCTTTATTAAAACAGCCATCAATATTAATATATACTAATAATATTTTTATTTTACAGACGTTCAGTTTAATTAGTATATAAGGTGGCTAAGCTAAATGCAGCTCATAAAGCCCAACTGATGCTACTTTTTAAATTAAGAGCACAAATATATAAAAATATGTTAATTTTTAAGACACCATTATGGTAATTATTGCACAGTACATTTTAAAGTAAGCTATCAGTAGTTAAAAAGAAATAAATAGTACCTGTTCTTCAGCATCCACTGGCTTTGGTTCTACTGACTCCCTTACAGACGATGGCAATGAATCACAGTTACCTAAATTTTGTTCAGAATGAGAGTCTTTTCCTGACAAAGGTTTATCAGATCCAGGAAGAACTGAATTTGATAATTTTGAGTTTCTTTGGCTTGATTTGCTGGATTTTGCAGAACAGCAATTCAGGGCAGAAACATCAGTCAAAGATAGACGTTTCTTTTCAGTCTTTGCTGTTTTTGAACTGAAAATTATTTAAATTTAAGAAAATATTCATAATAATCACCCAAACTTAAAAACACACATAATGCTAATTTGCGTGGGAAACATTTTGTTTTTTATATTCATTCAGGATATTTCACAATATAGTTATTCAAAGAAACAAAGTTTTTTGCATATTTTATACAGAGGCACAGACTTTTTTTTTTATGGAAATAATCTGGTGATTATCGGACGTAATACAAAAATTTAATTCACACTACAAATTACTACTATACAGAATACGAATCCTAAAAATTTACAGTTGCATTCTACTTGTTCATGGATTTAGAATAATAGATAAAACTTGATGGAGAATCAAAACACAATTTATTCACGAATAAGCACACAGGACAGTTATAAAAAAATGTTTACACACATATAAAATCTGATGTGTACACCACATGACTTCCTTGTACGGAATATTAAATTCCGTTTTTCTTGCATTTCATTTAATCGTTGCCACATGTTCTATTCAAATACTATAATAAAGCTAGAATGATGTATAAAAGAAATTAAGCAAACAAATTAAAAAAGAAACAGTTTTTCACAAACGATTGAGTGTTTCTCATTCAATTAATTCAGTTCTCACTTCGCGAGAAGGCAAAAATACATAAAAACTCAAAATATCCATATTAAAAATTACGAAGTAAATCTTAAACACTTATTTCCTCGAAAAAATTCCAGAAAGAATTAAGCATGATTTAATTGTCAATAATAAATTAATGCATTATCTTTGTTGTTGTGAAGCTAAGTTTCTCTAGATTGGCAACAAATCCACTAGTCTCCTGTTTCAAATGTAAACATCAGTGGCCGCCATAAAAAAAAAAGGTTTAGCGGCACTTAGACAACTTTAAAATTGTTGATAATTCTAAAAATATTGCATACAGATTTACTAAAGGCATAAAAACCTTAACCGGAAGATGAAAACAACATAATACAATCATTTTAAAAGCAAAAAATGTACAATTTACAAACATATAAGAGTAAAGAAACTGAGATCACTGAGCGGTAGTAACAGAGTGGATATTATATAAATATATTTATATACGTTTGGTGCGGCCGATTGCAACCAAAATACGAGGTGCACATCTACATGTTATAGCAGTCCCTATATATTTCAAATTTCAACGTTCTGAGGCTATTCGTTTTTGAGTTATGCGAGATAAGTACATACGTTCATATGCACATACGTACATATGTTCGTACAGACGGCACGAAAAATTCTCTTCAAAATTAATTTTAAAGCAGTTTTTTTTTTTTTTTTTTTTTTTTTTTTAAGGAAAGGAAGAGAGTATTTTATTCTGTCCTTACATACAGATATCACGCAAAAACATCGTTAAATTGCATTCAATAGTGGTCAAAATGGATATTTTCGTTGAAATATGCTGCCTGAAACTTTTCGTGATTACAATACTTCCTTTTTACTTCGTACAAGGAAGTAAAAAGTATGAAAAACATGCTGAAACAATCAGCATACAGCCTACAGCCTTCAGGCTGTAACGGTGACGACAGCTTCATGGCAAAACACTAAAGTACAGCTACCGACTCGGTCGATCACTCTCGAGCTAATCTCTGAACTCAAGGCACTATTCTCTCCCAGGATAGGCAGGGTATATATAGCTTTAACTACCTTCGAGAATATTCTCAAGAAAACCTCTAAAATTGTGTTCTAGAATGTTCTTGCTCCAACTATGACATATCGCTAATTTTGTCACCAAATAGAAACTTTCACACCAAATCTGGCAACCATGTCTTCCCCTCCCGACACTTTCTGGCAACCCTAAGCCCAGTTTGAGGAGAAGCTATCTGATGCAACATTATATAATATAATGCTAACTAATTTCAGTATTAATGTATACTCAATATATATTATTGCACCATACTGCTAAAAAGGGAGTCAGAATTCTGAAAACAGCAGTTCTAACGGTTTATATTTCATCAACAGCTCATCAACAGTTTCAAAATAGTTTACAACAGTTCTAGGAATCCCTGTACACCAACTGAAAAAAGGAGGGGGCCAGTTCTATTACTCCCATTCTACTTGATCAATTGGCAAAATTTAATTTGCACTTTTTATGCATCGAAAGTAAGACTTATGATTTGCATCAGATTTATTTGTAATGTTATTCTAGCATATGTATTTTAATACAAAAGCAGACCTTTTCTGAAATGATATGCCAATTTTGTTTGCATATTTTAGTTCTACAACTTAAATCTTATAATGTTTCATGGGGTATTTAATTAATTCCAAAATGCACAGCCCCCATTCATCAACCAAGCCAGCAAAATCTGTAGTATAGTTTTAAGTCCAGAAAATATCATTATCAAAAAAAAAAAAAAAAAAAAAGGAGAGAAAGAGGTTGAGAAGGAAATGAATGGCAGTTAAGTAAACATTCTAGGCACAACAATTATATAAATTCAGCTTTTACAAAGCAAGAATAAACAATTATGTAAAAAAAAAAAAAAAAAAAAAAAAAAAAAACACTGTGCATATTTTACCAAAATATACAACATAAGAAGGTCCTTAAGCAAATCAGCGATTAATACATAAATGTATACTAATGTAAGCACAGATTCATAACAATTTATGATTAAAATTTTAAAAAATTATCAAAAGCCACAAAATTAAGTAAAAATTAATCTTTCTTCATTTAAAAAAAAAGTATTCATACTGTATTTTCTTGCCATCTTGGGACGAGCATAGCAAGTTTAAAGCACCTTCAGATGTGGAATGTGGAACTGATGCAGGAGTTAATACAGTCTGATGAACTCCCGACACACTCCAAGGTCTATCCCGACTAACTCGTTTTTTCTTTCGCATTCGTACAACTGGAGAAGGCTCAGTGCTACCAGCTCTATCACTCTGCATGATGCCACTGTCTTCAGGTACAGCTGGTATAACAGTCTCAATAGAACCTGAAAGATTTAATTTTTTTGTTACACTGCTCGAATAAGGAGACATTACATTTTCAGATATACATATTGTTACGAAATGTATAGATGCGGTGAGATGGCTTCCCCGCAAAGCAGTTTTAGGGTTGCCATAAAACTGCAAGGGAAGGCAGGGTTGCCACATTTGTCGAGAAATCACTCGTTTGGCGACAAAATTGGCAATATACCATGGACGGATGGAGAACCTTCTGAAATGAATTCTTACCGGTTTAGGCCAGAATGTTCTCAAACACAAGCCGAAAGCTACATAAACCCTGCTGCTCTGCAGTCAGTTAGTGCGTGTGTCTCGTCTAGAGTGCGAGTTAGTATCAAGTTGGTGTCTCGTCTAGCAAGTTAGTCTGTGCAGAGACGATCGAGTTGACAGCCGGGCAGTGAGTGCCGAGAGTGTCGTCGAGTGCACCGAAAGAGTCTTGTAGTATATCGCGGTTAGTGCATCGTCGAGAGAGCACGTTGAGCTCTGGGAATGACTGAAGCAAAGAGTCGGGAGCTGTGCTTGTATGTCGTCGAGTGCATCGAGAGTTGCAGCGTGGAGAGTCTCGAGAGTACGTGGAGTTCTGAGAACGACCAAGCAGAGTCGGGAGCTGCACTCTGGTGCTTTGCAAGAAGCTGTCTCCACCGTTATTGCCTGACAGTGTGAAGGCTGTGTCGCTGATTATTCCAGCGTGTTTATAGTAGATCTTCGATGACTGTAAAAAGTGTTGTTGGAGCTGTCCTGATAAATATTGGCTAAATAAAGTGTGTTTCGATACTTCATCAAGTGCCGTCGTTATTCACTCCAAATCTATAAACCCTGTTAGTACGTGAAGGAAAAATAACGTAACAACTGGTGTCAGAAAAATAAAAACGCAACAATATACCACAAAAGAGGGAAGAAGAAAAGTTTTGTTAGCTGATGTTATGATATATAGGTACTGCAAACTAATATGAAAAAAAAATTATAATGGAACAATAAATAATCAAAATTTTATTCCGTTTTTCTTCTTCTTTGTGCATGTCATAGAAAAAGAACAAAATGAGATTTCTCAGACAAAAATTAGCTTTGATATGGAGTATGATAACAATTGATCAAGAGCAACTGCACATCTGTGGCAAATGGAGTCAACGAGATTACCAAGAAGGGACTGGAACTCCCACTCCTACAAAAGAGTGATTTCCAGTAATTGCACTGTTCCTCAGTGTGATAAGCACTCAGAAATCCTTCCTCTTAGAATACCCCCCACCAGACACACACACATGCTCAACTGAGTTTGTATCGGGGCAACATGCTAGTCAATATATTTGAAGGGTCCTTTAATTGAAAAGGTAGTTCTGCACTTGCCAAACAAAACACAGCTTGAAATTATCATACATGAGAATAAATCCAACCCCCATTTGTTGCAGCATAACAGGCAATAAAAGATCTGCAGATTTCATCCCAATACAGCAGGCCTTCAGCGATCCACTTTTACTGAGAGAAATATAATCATGGCACTTAACAGATATACAGGTCCAAACAGTCACTCTGCCTCCTCTAAAGTAGACACTTTGGTTTACAAATGCAAGATTATTCATGTTCTGTCCAATAACAAGCTGCCAATTAACTGGTTATACAATAAAGTGGGACTACCCTGAGAAGAGAATTTTGTACCATTCATCCTCTGTATCTATTCGAGATGCTCTTGTGCCACCTTTTGCAGACAGTAGTCACTGATAGGTTTTTTTGCTCAAGAATGACATTCATGCTGTGGTTTCTTCTGGCCATTACAGTTAACCCTTTCAGTACATTTGACGACTGAGTTTCGTCATGCACTTGTTTTGCCTAAGTTATGGACGATGAGTCAAATTCGTCATTCAAACTAGGATAAAATTAAACACATACATTTTTGTTCACAACAAAAGTGATTTGTAACAGTTGTAAGAGGGTGTTTCTTTCAGTGCTTCAATGAAACGTGTTTGTGACAGACTGCTCCAAGATGTCAGAAATAAGTAACATATTTTACAAAAGTGAAAATGAAAGCCTATGTTTTTTAAAGAAAATGAAAGAGAAGACTGAGAAATATGATGAATATAGTGAATTACAAGATGAAAATTTCGAGACAATAGCAAACTAGAAAGTGATAATGATACTGAAATATTACCAAGATAAAAAAAACCATTAAAATTTGCAAATAATAAGTATATTATAATATTTTGTATTTTTGATGGAATTCACCATGTTTTTTCTTGTGATAGTAAGCTGAATCAAGTTGTTTAATTGCTTACTATTATTTATCTGTTTCTTATAATTATTATTATCCAATATGCAACTCCATTACCTGCCACATACAAAATCTGCTACTAATCACTTTTTTTCATATTTGATGCCTAGTTAGGGATCAAGAGTAGGAACTGACATCCATTAACCAAGTATTTACACTTCAAACAGCTAAAATAATAACAGATTTTCTCTCTTTATTTAATGATACTTATTTCAGAAATATTATAATGTTCAAGTATGCTACATGTTAAATGGATTATGTTAATGGACATGTTAAAGGTTAAATGGATATAGTATCAGTTGAGATAATTTTCATTTAGAACAGTGGTTCTCAATATGTGGTATGTGTACCATTGGAGGTACATGATGGCACAGTCAGAGGTACGTGAAAAAATTATCAGCAATAGCAGACAATAACACAGTGCTGCTGCAATGTAAATGCAAATAAAAATCAAAATATACAGAATATTTCAATATGGCACTGATTAAACAGAAAAACAGTTTGACTAATCTAATGTAAATGTTACTATCGAAAATATATTTGAAAGGAATGTAATAAGTTATAGCTAGTCCCAGAAAAAGTTGAGAAGGTTAGATTTCAGGGAATCATACAATGAAAATTAATTAGATTTAAATTTGAGACATTTTACAAATTCTTGTCATAAAAAAATCACTTTGATTTATACACGATGTCAAAGAAAGCATAACTCACTTAAAAGGCCTCAAGGAATTTTCAAACATTACTTGACCAAACGAAAGATAATTAAATTTCAGATTCTATTAATGAAAATTCCTTTCAGCCTCAAAATTAATATTCTTTGAAAAAGAACAACTTTTACTTTTTTGACTTTATTTATTGAAGTTTATTAATTTTATGGTGTTCAAATAAAAGCACTGTATTGTATGAATCAGGGGTCATACACTCTAAAGGGGAACATTAGGGATAATTTGCAATGACAGTATGTCCCCTTAAAAGGTACATGAAAGGAAAAAAAAAGTTAAAAGTCACTGATTTAAAAAGATATTCTGCCTATGTTGAATACCTTTTATAATTTTTTTTAGTTCCTTTTGTAATACTGCTGCAAATTTGCTGCAATTTCTTTCATTGCAGATTAATCTTATGAACCAATATTTTAAAATTAAGTTAAGCCAAAAAATCCTACAATTTTTCTATAAAGACAAATGGAACTTGGAACAAAAGGAACATAAATGAATACCTCAACTTATGCAAACTCGAAGTTACATGGTTCCTTAATTTGCACATTTATGCTAGTAATTAATTTATATTTGAAATAAGTAGTAGTTCAGAAAAATTTTATAAACAAGAGCTTTTTCTGCTTATAACTAGCTTAAATGAAATAATATGCATCAAAGCTTAGTAATACACTCACTTCCAAAAGTTAAGCACGAAAATGGAAAAAAAAAAAAAAAAAAAATACTGCTTTGATTGACACAAAATTCGGCAGGAAAGTAGCATATACATTTATGCACAAAACAAAATCAATAATTATATACAGAAATGAAAACAATAATAAATTTTTGTAAGTTATCAGATAATGACATACTGGAGAATAAACAGCATAAAATGAAAAAAGGGACTTTAATAGGGTATGTGGTCCCCTCCTCACCTGTATACAAAGTTTACACCTTGTGACCATGCTTTCAATTAGGTGGCCAACCATCACAGAATTAAGCAATCGCCATTCTTCTAGTAGAGCAGTTTCCAGCTCAATAAGAGTGGCTGGAGGTGGGAAACGTAAAGATACAGCACGGCCGAGAGCATCCGAAAGATTTTCAATGGGATTAAGGTCGGGCAAATATGCTGGCCATGTCAGCTCTATGGGGATGTGCGTTATCGTACATTAAAACAAAAGTAGGGCCAACTGCTCCAATGTATGATCTCACAATGGGTTCTAGGACTTCATCTCGATACCGGACAGCCATCAAAGAAACCCGTTTAAAGATGTGCAGGTCGGTGCGGTATCCTAATGAAATCCCTGCCCACACCATAATGCTTCCGCCTAGGAATGAGTGATGTTCAGTGATGTTTTGGGACTGATTGCATGTTCGTTGTTCCCGCCATATCCTTATATGCTTGTCACCTGGCTCCAGAGCAAATCTTGACTCATCAGTAAACATGACATTGCTCCAGTTAGCCACATTCCAACCAACATGTTCCCGTCACCACTGTAATCGTGCCCCTCTTGATTGGATGGATAGAGGAACACAAACTCGAGGTACATGGGCGTACAGTCCACTCACATGTAATCTTCGGCATACAGTAGCTGCAGATATCGCCTTACCAATGGACGTTGTAACCATAGATGTCACACATGGGTAGGTCACTCTGCGATTCTGCTTGTCTACAATAGCAATACATCGATCTTCCGCAGGTTTGTAACCCTTCGGCGACCAGCTACGTGTCTTCGGATAACTGTCTGTGTGGTTTGGAATTGTTTCCATAAACGTGAAATTAACAGAATGGATGAACGCCTGAAGGAGAAAAGAAAAGAGCAACATCTGTGATTGATTGTCCTGCTTCAATGCGCCCCACAGCAAGCCAGCGCACAGAATCTTCCATTCGTCTTCTGGAAGTCATAGAAACACATATGTCTTGAAAACAAATTGTACGAAAGTCTTAAACACCTTCTATCAGCACTTAAAATCAACTTTTGTAACCCTTCATAAAGCTGGCTTCTTATAAGACTGCCATTTTTGCATATTTCTTGATGTGAAAGCGCAATTGGCTGTTACCTAACATATTTATATACTTCTATCTATCTCTGCAGCGAATTGCATCCTCTTCAATTCTGATTGGCTTCCGGAAATTAGCATTTTCCTCTTCGTTGCTAACTTTTGGAAGTGAGTGTATATCCCAGCTATAAAACTCCATCTCTTCAAAAATTGCAAATAAGTTATAATTGGGTTCATAGGCAAAGCAGTTATTCTACACATATGTGCATAGTCACTGTTTTGTTCTTTGATACAGAAAAAGTGCAGAATGGAGCTTCATAGTTTTTATTTCATCTTTCCCCCCATTTCATAATTATGTCTTTAATCGTTAGAAGAGTTTTTTAAATTTTATGAAACCATCGGCACTGAAATGACTCATAGCAGATCCATTTGAACAGTATTTTGAATTGATAGGTATGAAAATTCTTTATGTCATAGGTTTTTTCCAAGCAAGTATTTTTTAGCCCTTGGCCCTATCAAAAAGGAAAGCTGGTACTTACACATTAATTTGTCAACCATCAAAGTTGGCAGAAATCACAATAAAATTGCACCGATCACTCCTGCGGAATTCTATAGGAATTGATTCATTCTAATTTAATAAACAATCAGTATTCAGCCCACCTTGTATAAAGGCTTTTGTCAACTAGTACTGTTTTGTTAGGCCCTACCATTTTACTAGAAGCTCTGCTTAGAGCACAAACTTCCTGAAGGGAATTATTTCATCCATTACTGTTTTGTCAGTTATATTCAGCTGACCATATCATGTTCATAAAACACCTTTTTTGTGTTTATATGATAACCTATATGATAGGATCCTGTAATTTAGAATAAGTGTTGGTTGTTATTCTTAGAATGCAGGTCCCAAATTTTAAACTATTTCTTTGTTTCAAAATGCAAGAAGAAAATGCAGTAATAACAGATAATTTATTTCCTTGTTCCAGGGTTGTCACTCAAACAGGAGAATGAAATTCCCAAACTTTTCCTAGTTTTCCAGGCATGTTTCAAGAAAATTCACGTCTATCTGCGTAGTGTGCTTTGGCTTCGCAAAAACGTAAATTAAATATGTGACCACTTGAAAACACACAAATTTGCCAATTAATGACTTATCCCCAAAGAATTACTATTATAACAATACTAGAAGTTGTTTTCTCCAATGAAGACTGAGATTAAAATCTGCTCAATCTGGATTTAAAAATGTCTTTTTTCGCACACATTTTGCAGCTAAGCAAAAGAAAAATCTTTTTTTTATGATATTTAAAAATAAATTCAAGTATTTTATATTTATTTCACAGCATACATAAGCAAAAAATATGTGCATTAAATTTCGTGATGTTATGTCATCATATTGCTAGAATTACGAGTAGTTTCAAGATTATGCCAGAGAAAAATGCCTGAAATTTAAAAGTATTATTAACTAATAGTAAATAAATTTAGAAGGAAGAAGCCACATCAAATTATGCAAATTATATTAAAATAAAGTTAATTACTTAAAAGATTAAAAACTGAATTACAATAATCAATAGCATTTTGGAGAAAATAATTATATTAAATGGTTAGCCTAGATGACTGATTACAATTTTTTTATTTTACTGTAAAATGATTAATAAGGCATTTATTTATTAAAAAGACAACCAAAAGGTTTAAAGGATTTTGTGGTAAAATCCCAGCATATGGTGCAGCCCTGGCACAATTTTGAAAACTGTTGCCAACACCAAAATGACTCATAAATGTCCTGTATACTCATAGAGTTAGGAAGTAAGGGTATGGCCTTATTCATTTAGCAGCCCAAGAAAAATGGCCTATATCCAGTCACTAGCTGCATGATGATCCACTTCTTCCTTCTCAAAATGCAATTCTGATAAGCTATGTTGGATTTCATTTTCTCCAACTTGTGAGCCATATGTCAGTTGATATAAAATTCAATCCTAGGATTTGGCAAATAAGTGAAAACAGAAATATTTTTATCTTTATGGCTTTGAAAGCATTCTGGAATTATAGTTTCAAGTGTCTCTTGCTGGTTTTCTTCTCTCTCTCTCTCTCTCTCTTTTTTTTTTTTTTTTTTTTTTTTTTATTTTCTCAAGACATTTGTATTTTTATTAGTTCTTCATCAATTATATAATTACTTTTAACTAAACTGCATGATGCTGTTTGGGAAATTGCCAATTTAAATGTAGTTTTTCTCAGGTTGCTATTACCAAGAACATTAAAATCTTTTAACAATTGTCCTATTCATTCAGAATAAAGTCTTTTCACTTGGCATTTGGATATGTTACAAATTAAGCACATAACAATTTTTTTTTTTTAAATGTTCCTTCTAAAGATTTATGATTTAAAAAATGTTTTTTCTAAAGATTATTCTTTGTATGTTTAATCGATCTACCTCTTCATGATTAGAAAACATGACCAATGCTTCCCTTGCTTTTCCTTATCACGTAGACTCCACTTATCATGTAGATTCTTTATATACAATAATGCTTAGAAGAATTTTATGAACTTTATAACTCTCTGTGAGTATAATGTGTCTATTCCAAGAGAAGATTTTCACTGTAGAAACATTAAACACTGTGATTGAGAAGTTGCATTTTCAGCCCCTTTTCACGTACCCTATCACCCTTTTTACACAAATTTTTAAGGTTAAATTAAAATTTTTTTTCTGTAATTCAAATTTCAACATTTCCACAAAGTTTAAAATTTCATCACTTCTATGGCATTAATGTTTTATTTTTTATTTTTTTTTAAACCATTCTTTCCATGGAAAAAATTTTAAAGAATTCGGGTATTTATGACAAAATATACAGCAAAGCAAAACTAAAATTTAAAAGGAAATGTGACAGTACGTTACTTTTCTGTTTACTGCAACATTTACATGGTGATTTTTCATTTATGAAGCCATGAATGTTTATAAATTTACGAATAAATTCATGAGATCCATTGGAAAAAAATTTCAGAAGTCTTAAAAAAAAGGGAGACCTGATTAAACAAAACAAAAAAACTAAAAATATCCATATAACAAAAGATGGAAGAATTAAGTAACATAACTTTCAACACTTTCTTCTGCACATCAACATGTGAAGTCTGATTTATAATTAATAAATAACACCTTTAAATTTTCCTCTATTAAGGAAAAGCACCCAGCAGTTTAGCTAATAATCTCAACATCTCCCTTCCTTTTGTAAACATTATATACCTCTCTAAGAATGAATCAAATTACTTAATTGGGCCATTGTTGCGAACAGCAAGAGAAATCTTGAAAGAGAGAAAAGCATACAAACTTCACCATTTTAAGGCTCTCACGAGTATCAAATCTCCAACCTTTAAAGGTCATCAGAGATGAGTTTAATAAATGGTGGTTTTTCTATTGATTAATATATTTGTTTATGTTGAATATGCATATGTTCCAGGAAATTTGAATTCAATAAATGGTTATGTTTATTAATCAGTAAAATTAATAAGTGGCAGGTATTGTAGTGTGGTAATCATGGGTGTTTTCAATGACAAGATGACAAAATATGCTAGCATTAACAAGAAATTATTACATAAAATAATGCACTTCGACTTGGCAAGATCTGCATACTAATCAATGCAAATATAGGCAATTTAAAATAATTTCTGAAACCACCAAAATAAATTTTATACACTTAATACAGCCTAATTTTAATTTATTAAGTTGATTTTTAATTTAAATGGTACTTATAAAAACATTTCTGAAAGCAAATTTACAGAACTTTGTTGCCAAGAATCTTCTAAAAAATCCTGCAGTAAATTTTAATGTTATTCTACACAATGCATAGATGACAAAGCTAATAAAATCTTCCATTTTTGTTATCTTTAACACAATGTACTTCCTTATACACTTCTTGATTTTTGCTATAATTCTACATCCTTAAAATGTAGGTACATGATTTAAGCAAAGAAAGAATTATAAAATATTTGGGTACTTTTCTGTTTTGCCGACGCAGGCAATAAAGATGCCAAACGGAATATACTCGCTGGTAGCCTTTAATGCCTCATTTTCAAAACAAGTCGCAGCCATTTCTTCTTGGATTGATTGTTTCTTTCAATAATGGCATACAATTACGTAGAATTTTTACCAATTAGTTCAATTTTATGCCCTAAGGGCATTCACGGTAATTAAGTCAATTAGAATGCAATTACACCGCTCACCTCAAGGCGAAAATATAGAAAAGGCAAAGTCAAGGGTTAAATTCATTAATTCTAATAAGAATGCAATAGCAAAGTAAAGCATTGACGATTTAAATAATTTCTGAATAAGCTATTCGTACGAATTGAAGTAATTCTTGCATTCAAACTTGTATTCCAAATTAAAAGCTAACTTGAAATTAATGTAGATTATTACTGAGAAAATTAGATTTTTGTAGCGTAGTTTACGTGATGGGGTAATGTGATATGAACCAACGAATCAAGATGTTGAAACAAGAAAGCATAGTAAATTCTTAAATTAATGTTTTTTTACAAATTCATTGTCTTTATTTATTGGCTTTTTACAAAATTTTAAACGATATTAAAATGTTTATGCCTTCAAAATAAAAAATTCTTAAAACTAACATGTGTTAACATTTTTTATGTGTATACTGTTTGTTGTAGCCAATAAAGCCTGCTTGGCGAGATTTACGCCGGCGAAACGGAAAAGTACCAATATTTGCTTAAATATTCTACAAAAAATATCTTGAAATCGTTCTAAGCCGTAAAATACATTTGGAAAAGAAAGATCAATACATAAAAATATTTAAATATACACTTTATCTTACAATAAAATTTCAGATGCATGAATTATGCGATGCTGTATTATTTGATGGGTTAGTATATTTTGTTTTAATAGCATTTAAATGATCTGTTATGGTGCGGATGAAAAATTTTACTAAAATAAGAGAATTTTGTCTATATTTTCTTCTTTTACAATGAACTATATAGTTTATAAAATAGTACACAATTAATCACATTTAAAAAAAGCAATTCAAATCACACTAACCTGTAAATGATTGAGAGAAAGAAGCACTATTGTTAACATCTGAGGTATTTGACTTTTCACTATCAGACTCAGTTGTATATTCCCCACTAGCATCACAAGAGCTATCGATGGTTTTATGAGACCATTCTCCTTTTCCTAATCTGTCTTCTAAATTTTCCTCTAATGAACAATCTTGAACAGATTCACATGTATTTAACCACTCACAAACTCTGGCACACTTCTTCCACAATTCATCTGGATTTAAAGTTTTTAAAGGCATACTATTTATTGTAGATGATGAAACCCGTTTGCCTTTTTTATGTGAAATGTGAGGAAGATTGTCTAACTGTGAACCAGTATTCTTTACCTTAGTATTGTCTACAGATTCTTTCAATTTTGAAGGCATATTTACAGAATTGCTTTCTAAAAGATCTAATTTGTTATCATTTAGACTGTCAACAGAATCATTCTGATTTTTAGAAATCAAATCAAAATTGACTGCAGGCTCAGCATCGTCATCTATAGCAGTTACTTTATAAAATGTATCTGGTACACTTTTACACCTGTTATACTTAGACTGATAAAGAGGTTTATCTTCAGTTAAAATATGAAGGGTCTTTAAACTCACAGATGGATATTTATCTGGTGCAAGGTGTATTTTATTAAAATTTGGATATATGGCTGTGCATGAAAATGAATTTGGGCTTAAATTATGAACTGACTGTCCAGCACCACCTCTGATAGCACTTCTCTGGTGATTTTCAACATTTTGAATATGGGTCATGACATCTAATTTTTCATCATTTGAGAAATGAGCAGAGGTTTCACTAGAATAGCCTATGTCCTGCACAATTTCAAATTTTCCTGTTCCACATTCAGCTTTCAGTTCAGTAATACCCGTATCCCCAACCATGATAGCTTTGTCGTTCTTCACGGTACTGCATTCATCTTTTTGCAAAGGTGAATCAGTCAAAAGAAAGTTCAAGTCTTCATTGTCTGGATCCTTTTCTGGAGAATCACTGAATTTGTAACTCATCTTGTTCTTCAGTTCATTTTCTAAAAGAGAAATCTCTTCATAATCACTTAGTCTGGGATACTTTTTCACTGGTTCATCACTAAAACTCTTCTCTAACTTATCACATCCCTGAAAATAAAATGCACAATAAGAATAGCAATCAAATTTAAACAAAATGAAGACAAATTTTAAAATAAAATATTTATTTTCAAGACACAAGCATTTAAATTCTAAGAAAAACCATTAAAAACTTTATGCAGCAGGATAACGTATAATTTAAAAAATACTGAACATTAAAAGTAAAATTTAAAAGAAATGACGATTATACAGTCTGAAGTTTACAAGATGTTAAAATCATATTTACAAAGGATTTAACTTTCACATTATTCAGTCAGACGCAAATCACATAATTTGTCTTACTGTTTTATAAGCACGCATCAGTTCTTCAAGAATACAGTGGCATTCTAAGGATCGCAACCATATGGAATGCCATTTATGTTCCAAATTGTTGGCCACCTTTTGAACTCTTTCTGCATCCCAAACAGAATTCTGCCCAAAACGAACATCTCCTTCCAGACACTCACATAGTTTCAATAATGATGATATGTATTTGCCTTTGCCTTCAATTTCACTTTGAAGAATCTGAAATAAAATTTTGCACATTAAACAGAATCTAACAGTACCTACTTTTCTAAACTAACCATTAATTTATAGCATATGCAAAACAAAATAATAATAAATTAAACCTTTATTTGGCATCGTTGCTCAGAACCAAGTTGTGTTTTCACCATTTACCAATCAAAGAGTTCAAATAAAAAACATAGCAACAATTTAAAAAAATAATAAATAAATAAAACAAAAATTAAAAAGTAAATAACTTTTTTATTCCAAAATTTAGGTTTCAAGATGGCTTAAATGCATCAAGAATTGGTTTTGGTTTCAGTTTAATTGATTATGGCATATCACACTAGGGCTATCTACCTGAGGGGAGGGATGCCTTTGTGGAGGACTTTCTAAGGGAAACTGGTTTGTATGCATGTTATACATAGGGAAAACACCCACGCAGCCAGTTATAACCATTCAGCAGTTATCAAACCCAGGTTGGAACTACCAGTGTTCAGCAACTTTACTGCCCAGCTGCAGGTGGGCACATCGAGAACTGAAAATTCTATAATTATACTTACTCAGTTAACACTTTTAATAGCATTTTTTAATAATAACAAAAACATGATATGGCCTAATAAGAACTACTATTTAATTAAAATCTACACCCTTTAACTGAAATTACTTAGGAATAAATTAAATGCTAGTTATAATCACAAAACAGAAAAGTGGCCAAGTGGTTAAAACTGCTAAATATTGATATTTTGAATTCAGGCCAATGGGCTAGTTGCATCATTGCTTTTTATGGTTTTCTTCATGTGTAACATGAATATGACCTAGCCTCCTCCCCCCCCAAAAAAAAAATTATCCTTTAGGCAGACAGTCCTCGTGTGTTTTGCCACTTTAAACAACTAACACAACTATAAAATTATCCTTTCAAAATGCTACAACAAGGCCACAATTATCTGGCATGGAGAATTAATGGTAGTCAGGTAAATGGAAATATTTAATAACATCAAAATACCATAGATAAGTTTTTATTAACTTTCAAATCTGAAAAAACATAACCATATATATAATTATTGAACATGGGAATGAGTACATATTTCATTATCTTATGCTATGGTAGTAAAATTATTTCATTCAAAAATAAAATGGGTTGTTACACAGTGCACTATACAAATGTGGCTTAGTAAAAAAAGAAATGGAGTTAGGAATATTAAAAGTGATAACATGTACTCCATAAATACTGAAAAAGCTGTTCTGTGAAAAAATTAAAAGATTTACTTTGAGAGCATAGTTTTGAATTATAAATATAGTAGACATAGTTGTTGCTGTAGTTGCAGTAGCGGGGGAGGGGGAGATATATTACTAAAATATAAAAAAAACATTATAATTAAGTATTTCAATTTCCTTTATATCTCAAATAATACAGAATGTGAGG